TAATTTCAGTTATTCACAGCAGGGGGCAAGGTCTTGGGAGAAGGACCATCCATCCTGTGATGTCCAATTAATGACTGCAGGAATGAAACAGGAAAACAAAATTTAGGCAACAAAAGCAGAGGGAGGGTGTTAAGTATAGAGGGCTTTTTGAGTTAGCGAGATTTTTGCTGCGATTTAATTGTATTTTCTATTTGTGACCAAAGTGATGGTGGAGGGAGAGGCCCTGGCAGGGTGGCAGATTGGACGAGGTGGGTCATGCCTCACTCTGTGCTGCAGGTGCATTGCATTTTGAAGAGTAGATCCTGTTTACATCTTTGACTATGCGATACTGTGAATAATGATAATGTAAATTGCACTGCATATATATGGGGGATTTAAATTAATAAAGCAGTTTTGAGGTAAGGACTTAAGAAAATACTCATGAAACTGGAATTACTAGTCACATTACTAACTTCTGGCCAGGGAAACTGGTTAGTCTAGACAGCTCAGCTCAAGGGAAGGGTCCGATGAGGGGAGGGGGAGGGAAGCATCTGGTCCTTGGTCACTTGGAGGCTGAAGAACTCAGGGGACCCAGCTGCAGCCATGGCCCACACATGACAGACTAGAGAGCAGAACCATGATGAAGGGCAGAGACATGTGGACAGCCGAGGCTGGGCTATGTCCACTCCAGGGTAGGCAGCACTATTCTCCCTGTCTCACCCCATGCAGAATTCTCCTTGCTGACCCTTGAGCGCAGAATAGTCTTTTAAATGCATAAATCAGATCATGTTGGATTTTTGTTGAAAACATTCCTGTTGCACATGGACACTTGAAATCTTTGAGTTACCCTTGTTTCTTCAGTTTATGCCTTTCCTCATAGAAGAGGGTTTGGGGAGGGGAATAGATTTAGTCAGTATTCCCCTAGTCAGCGCTGAAGATAAGACAGAAGAGGGGTGCCTGGGTGGCTCAGCCGGTTGGGCCTCCAACTCTTCATTTCGGTTCAGGTTGTGATCTCAGGGTTGTGGGATCGAACCCCATGTCGGGTTCCATGTCGACATGATCGAGCTCCATGTCGGATAGACATGGAGCCTGGTTGGGATTCTCTCTCCCTCCCTCTTCCCCTCCCCTGCTTGCTCTCTTTCTTTCTCTAAAATAAATAAATAAATAAATAAATAAATAAATAAATAGATAGATAGATAGATAGATAGGACAGAAGAACACTGTGGCCTCCTGTGTTCTTTCTACATTCAATCTGGAGCTGACCCTGCTTACTCAAATAGAATGTCTGAGATTATTTAGTTCAACACCCTCCTTTTAAGGATAAAGAACCTGCGGCACAGGGGAGGCAAGTGACATCTCAGGGGAGTGTTAGAGCTGGACCAGAACTCTTGTCTCCTGACTCCTGGCCAAGTGAATTTGATGCCCTTGACTGATGGACAGCTCTAGCTCTGCAGATGAAAGGGCATTTTAGGCTGGCAAGGAAGAATAGCAGGGCCAGATTGGAGGGAGTGGAGGACACCCCCGGTAGGGAATGGAAAGGCCGTAAAGAATGAAAATATCTATTCCTATTGGCCACGTCCCCAAGACAAACCTGACTCCCAAATGCTCCTTAATGGAGGCATAAACAGTGACACAGAAGAACCACAGGGATGGATTGACCAAAGACCATGACATGTCATTTATGCATAATGACTAAGCACCCCTATTTATTCACTCTTAACCCAGCTCTCTAACCTGGCTCTTTCTTTTCAAGTCATTGGAGACCTTCTCTACCATTCCTCTCTTTTCATTTGGTTTTTGGCTACTGTTTAGAATCTAGCTGCGCATTTGTCTCAGGTTCTAGGCTGAAGGAAGATGAAGAAGGTGATGATGATGAACCGGGGCCACGTGACTTGCCTGCAGCGTTTAGCTATTTTGAAAGGGGGCTGTAGAGAAGAATAATGAGCAAATTCATGAGTCAACATTATATTTATCCCTCTCTTGTGAGGAATACTCCCTCTACTTCTTTTGTGAAGCATAATCATCTGTTAGTTTTAGTAAGACATTTCTCTGCCCACTGATAAGGAAACAAAAAGGCATTTACTGTGCTGGTCTCCAGAATGTGAAATGTAAGCTGTGGTCTTTTGTTTGTTTGTTTTTAGCTTTCATTTGTGATAACAGGCTTCAGGGTTGAAGGGGACCTTGGAGGACCACCAACCTCACCACCCCCTTCTGTGCAGGAAGCCCCTTCCCAACATCGACGCCAGTGGTTCTGATCCCTTTCCTCTGCATCCCCACAGCGAGTTGCCTCCGCCTCTGCAGAAACACTTACTTCATTTTGCTCTAAATTGCAGTTATATGAGGACTTTTCTTGTCTCAGCTGTGAGCCCCTGAGGGCAGGAATCCTGTCTCATTCCTCTTTGATCTCCCAGAGCCCCCAACACAGAGCCTGGCCAACTCTCCATAAATATTTGAATGAGTGACAAAGTGTTAACACCCTCCAGAGGCAGCCACAGTTAGACATCTCTAATAGTTAGAAAGTTCTTCCTAAAGTGAGCACAAGTGTGCCTCCCTGTGTTCTCTGTGGGGAGCGAATGTAAACAGGCAGTGATGACAAAGGGCCAGGTATCCATAAGATGACCATGAGGGATGCTGGGGAGAGGCTGGTGCCCAGCTCTTACTGCTTTTCTTGCTTCCCATCTGGCCAAAGCACACAAAGACTTTCCCAGGGCAGGAAAACCCAATAACACTAGATAAATCTGGATAAATGTGGGATGGGGAAGAAGGTTTTCCGGATTTGAATCCAGTTTGGAAGGACAGCTCTATCACACACTGTCAGTGTCACACCTGCATCCCCTCAGCCGGCCCTAAAGGTCAAATGCAGATGGCTCCCATATAAACTGATCGCTTCCTGCATTTCTCTGGCCATGGTCACTCTCTGACCTGGGAGGTGTGCTTGGCCTCTGTGTAGGTCAGGCTGGAAATGGAATTACTCCAAAGGAACCCTCAACCATGAGCAATCGGACTTGGTGCATAAATGCCCCAGATACCTCACCTCCCAGTGAGACAGCCCAGGAGTTGTTCTACACAGTTGCTTAAAAGGCTTCAGGAGGGATGAGCTTGTAGCACTAGCCCATTAATAAACACATCCTTTATTCATTTTCTTTCCTTTTTTCTTTGACTTGCTCACTCCCTCACCTTGCTTTCTGCAGTCACTTCCAAATAAGTCATCCAACCCAAATCCTTGTCTCAAGGTCTGCTTTGGAGGCAACCCAAACTAAGGCAATGACACAAGCAGGAAATTTGGGGGAATCCAAATGTCATTCCTTTAGAAGACAGAACTGTTAAAATCAGTACATGCCTTTTTCTCTCTCTCTCTTTTCTTTCCAAGTACAGAGTTGGTTTTTCTATCAGTTCTATAAATAGAACTTAATTTTAAGGAGAATCTGTGTCCTAACTCAGAAAACAAGGCTGGTAATGATTCCTAAATCTTTGAAGGATAGTTATTTCAAATAACAAGTCAGTAATATTCTAGCTCTATTAAGGAAATGTACTGCGTCAGAAAGGTCTTAGGCCAGACTAAAGAAAGAGCTTACACATAGAGGTCATTAGACATCAGGATGGATTTGTGTTTGAGCACCACATTTAACCATTTAAACTTCTACAGAGGCCTTTTAAAGAAGAGAGGCCTTATCAACCTGGCTCAGGTTTGGGATGGAGGACTTGAGGTCAGGGACAGTTAAGATGAATAGGGACCATGAAGGAGGAGGGGAAGGAAAATAAAGAACCTTCATTTACCCAGTATTAATAAACTATTCCTGAGCTCATAATAGAGCCAGGAGAAAATGCCATTGCTGAAGAATATTTCTTGTCATTCAAGAAGATTTGTAACAAAGAACAAAGGTGCACAAGCAACTTGCTGCCCTAGTCCTTTTTCAGGCAGACATTGTGTGATTCAGAAAAGCTCCCTGTGGATGCCACAATATTACTTGATTGTTTTGACACCTCAGACAATCAATAAGAGGTAGCAGTTAAAAATAATCATGCTCGCTACTGTCTTAGGTTTGTGGGGTTTTTCTTTTGTCTTGTTCCTTCTTGGAGGGTTTTCTGTTGGCCTGGTAGGAAACAACACACTTGGTCATGAATTTTTAATTGGCAATCAAAGATGGGAATGATTGTAAACAAAGCACATGATGAGCGAAGTCAGCAGGGCCAGGAGAGCCCTACAGATGCTTTTTTGGGATAACCCACAGATGCCTTTTTGGGGTTAGGTAGGGAAATATCCCTAAGTCTAGTAAGGATAAGAAAGAATTCCACTGTTTGTTCGTTTGTTTTTTTAATTTAAATTCAATTAGCCAACATATAGTACATCATTGGTTTCAGATGTAGATTTTTAGCATGGAAGAATATTGTTGCTTCCAATGCTCTCTTTATTTAAATCTTGACTGATGGCTAGCGTCCCAGCTTTTTTGGTAGGGAGAGGAGCAGGGCTTCAGCAAATTCTTCTCTTGGCAATAGGAAGATGTGTAGACGTCATGGGACATGTGTTCTTTGCTCTTTTTGATGAACACCACTGCCTGTTGTAGGTAGCCGTAATGCCCTGAGTCTAACTCTCTCCTGAGCAAGAGAGGTGCCTTCGCCCTAGTTCGAGCCTCTACTTCCAGAGAGTGCTTCTTAAAAGCGCCATGCTTCCAAGATGCTCCACAGAAGCACCATGCTCCTGTGACATGACCTCGTTGAGTGTGGGGGTTACTAAGGCCGTCCAAGTAAAGCAACCACATAGTTGACATAAAAATTATGTTGGTCCCCAGAAGGAAAGATCTCAGTTACTGTACCTCCTATCAGTTGAAATTTTATGTTGCAGGAAGTCTTTCTCCTTCCCTAGTGTATCCAAAAATGGGTACACTAATGTGGCCTACACTAGCCTCTCTCAGACATTTTGTTTTGAGTAGGCTCCTTCCCCAAATACCCACTCCCAAAAGTGCTCAGTGGGTGTTGTTCTAGCTTGCCCCACTAAGCGCTCCCTCTCCTCTGCTTCCCAGAATGCCTATGTCAACATCAACCGCATCATGTCCGTGGCTTCCCGCCTCTCCGAGGCCGGTCATTATGCCTCGCAGCAAATCAAGCAGATTTCCACACAGCTGGACCAGGAGTGGAAGAGCTTCGCGGCTGCCCTGGATGAACGCAGCACCATCCTGGCCATGTCTGCGGTGTTCCACCAGAAGGCTGAGCAGGTGAAGCCAAGGGAGCTGCTGTGGTGGCTGTTGGTCAGAAGGGTGGGAGTACATACGCTGTCTGTGTAGAGAGCCTCTCCTCTCTTCCGGAAACACACAAGACCCCGCTGAGTCATTGCAGTGGTAACCCGTATTCTATGGCTTTCCTGGCACCTGTGTATGCAAGGACACATTGGTCACTCTGGGTAGCTTTGCTTAACATCCAAACAAGAAGGAACCTAGAGCGGTTTACATTCTGTTTGGTAGTTTATGGTTTTGTGTGTGTGTGTGTGCATGTGTGTTGACCGCATTCCCAGAGCGTAGATAGAAGGGGTGAAACGAAATACTGATCATTGAGTGCTGAGAGCAGGGGGAAATTAATCTTACATAAGCATTTGCTATGGATAGTAATAAAGTAATAATTACACAATGGATAGAAATAATAATTATTTGTTGCTATTTACTTATTGGCATTGGTCAGTGACATTACTCACCCATTGCAAGGAGGAGCACTAAAGCTCAGAGACATTATGTGACCTACTTAGGAACCAGTGGTGTGTTGGAGCTGGTTCTAAGCAGCCTATGGGGAGCCAAATGTCAAATGTTCGGGAAATTTGTGAGCTGGTTATTAAATATAGCCATTACTTAAAACTAAATTATATAGATTTACGGTAAATATATTAAAAACAAAGGTAATAGACTCAAAACTCATCACTCATATTTTACTACAATTTATTATTACTTATGTTCCTGAAATTATGTGTATTTGTCTCTGTGAAAACACTATATAGTTGTGTGGATAGCTCCTGATTAACTCTTCCCAACTTCACATTCTGTAATGGCACTTAGACCAAGGTAGAAGTTTTATACCATGGGAGTCATCAGATGCTACAAACTAGGGCTTGATTTATTTTTTTATCAATTGGAGTCTTAAGAAAACAAGGAAAAACATATTTTGAAATGCAGATTAACTTTAAAAATGTAGCCTGTCTGTAGCTGTTACATTGTGAATAATAGCACACCAAATTGAGGAAATATTCTTCTGATATTCAAAATGTTCTTCTAAATATTCTATTATTCCATTTAGCACAGAAGTCACTCACATCGATGATGAATGAGTAATGCTCTGACATAAGTCTGGAGGTATTTTCCACTTTTGTATTACACCTTAACATAAGTGAAAATATCAGCTAGCTTTCATGTAAGTTTGTTTGCAAACAAAAGCATCCTGTGAGAATCAGTTGGCTATATAGAATTTACAATAAGGAGCACTGTATATGTTATTATTCTTTGTAAATTATGTGCTATACATCCTTTATATCAGTGAAGTTTACAATACACTTGTGTATATATACAGTATACACACACACACACACACACACATGCTGGTGCTTAAACATTTACTAACACACCACTGCAAAAATCACACAATCTATGAACAGCTGGGATTTCAACTGAGATGTGTCTAACATTAAAGCTTGTGGTTTTAACCTCCAAATTCCTTTCTTTGTATGACATTTGGGTAGCTTACAGATGGTGGAGAGTCCTAGATGAGGTCATACCTTAAATCTCTCCCCCCGTTTGACCCACCTAACACAGAAGGCAGCATGGTATAATTGGAAGAGTCTAGGCTTTGCAGCCAGGCACATGTAGGTTCTAATCATTAACTCTTAGGCAAGTCACCTCACCATTTTTTGCTTGTTTCCTCATCTCTAATACAAGATAATCATAAACCTCACAGCACTATTATAAGAATTAGAGATGGAACATATAAGATGCCTTTTGTGCTTTTTAAATGCTAGACATTACTACTGGTTTGTGCAACATATTATCCTGGTATGTTTATATTCCCCTCACCTGTGTCTGTTTCCACCTGAGACCTTCCCAAAGACTGAAATACTTGTGTCATAAGTCAGGGGCAGCTCCACATATTGAAAAAAATCTAGACTCTTTTTTTTTTTTTTTTTAGGGATCATGGTGATAATGACTAATGAACTCATGTCTAGGCCCAGGAGAATACTCATGTTGAATCTCCCATTCTCTCTTCAACCCTACCACTTGCACATTTTGTTCAAAGTTTATCCAGATTGGCAAGAGAGGCTCAGGACTTCCCTTTCTGTATCTCTGCCTTTCTCTCCTTGAGCTGACCATTTTGTGGGGTCTGCTGTAGGACTCTTGTTAGAGTATTACAGAGAAATCCCAAGGGCCTTGGAGAGGTGCTTCCCCCATGGTTGACAGATGAATATCAAGTTGCTTTCAGGTTCCTCTGTAAAATGGTTATTGGGAGAGTGAAGAAACTTCCGAGATGTTAGCAAGTGTATGCAATCTGATGCTGGATGGCACCCAGCATGCTTCCAGAATTGTTAAGGGATGGCCTAATGGGATAAAAACATATAGAATGAAAAACCAAGCATGACAGCCACCAGACCAGGGACTATGAGCTGACGGACACTGGGACTGGAACTCCAGCGGTTACAGAAAGTGCAATGCCAGAACCAAGAGTAACTGGTAGAGTCAGCTTCTAGCTGATGTTTCCTGACTTGGACTGCTTTGGATCAGAAGTAATTTTATTTGTATCTATTTTTAAGGCAATTTCCTCAGGTATTACCAGTCCTTCAGGGAAACTCATAAACCATGCTTCTTTTTAGCTGGGGGAGAAAAAAACAAACACACGCCAAACAACAGATTCAAGGCTATTTTTTCAGGGCTATTATGTGTTTATTTAGGCAGCTCTTTTATTGTCCTCATATGGGCTGTTCTAGGCAATGAGATAAAAAGGTATTTAGGCAATTAATTTAAATGGAGCTGTGCAGGGGCGCCTGGGTGGCTCAGTTGGCTGCCTTCGGCTCAGGTCATGATCCTGGAGTCCCGGGATCGAGTCCCGCATCGGGCTCCCTGCTCGGCGGGGAGTCTGCTTCTCCCTCTGACCCTCCTCCCTCTCATGCTCTCTGTCTCTCATTCTCTGTCTCAAATAAATGAATAAAATCTTTAAGAAAAAAAAAAAAATGGAGCTGTGCACCTAGGCGAGAGGAATCACAGACAGAACCATTCCAGACGGTTGGGTGAAGAATTATTTGCATTTTAGAGGTGTATTTTTTCATCCAATAAATCAGTGATTTCAGTTAGCTCACCTTTTATGCATGGAGACCCATAGTCTTCCACAGTTGTTAATTTTAATTTTTAAATAATTTGCTGTCTGCCGAGATCTATATCTATGTATCCCATCCCAGGAGCCAGCGCTGCCATAGGCATGGTGCAGTCTGTCCCCCTAAGCTGCCCCTCCCCTCTCCCACCCCTAAAGATACTGACCCAACAGTGGGGATCTCGTGGAGCTTTCATCTCCAGCCCCTGTGGGAATGGCCCCTGCAAGTTCCCTGGGGTACCTGATAGCCTTGTATGAGCTGTTCTTTGTTCCTCCTCACAACCCACTATGCCTGTGTGGAAACATCCCGTTACATTGCATGCAGCCTCTCCCGTGTGCCTGTGAGTGTGCATAGGACAAGGAGTTCTAAGGTATACATGTTCCCACACCTTGTAGCCAGTGTGTGGGTATAGCCTATTGAACACGTAGACGGCTCCTACCCTAGCGGTTTCACAACAGTCATCTCTGTCTGTGGAAACCACACTTCCTACAAAGGAGCTGTGTCTGACTTCTTTCGTGGGGTTGGTGTTTGTAGAATTAAAGAGAAAGACTCTACCCTCTGCAGTGGTCTCTAAGGCTCCCAGAGGCCCTAATGCTTCTTCCCAAGGTATCTGACCAGATCTACAAAATCTGCCCATTGCCCACCCCAGCGCTCCCGCACTGACCCAGCTGCTATCTCCTTCCAGTTCCTGTCGGGAGTGGATGCCTGGTGCAAGATGTGCAGCGAGGGGGGCCTGCCCTCCGAGATGCAGGACCTGGAGCTGGCCATCCACCACCACCAGTCCTTGTATGAGCAGGTGACGCAGGCCTACACAGAGGTGAGGACCACGCAGGACACGCAGGGCTCATGGGTGTGTGTGGATGTGGGTGAGTGGCAAGAGCACTGGCCTGTACATTGTGTAATAGCCTGGGTTGGACTAAGAAGAAGAGAGAGGCCATTTTTCTCCCTTTAGAGACATCTTTAAGATCCTTGATCTATGAACAATGAGGTCTCCAGCCAGGAAGCAGAGACAATGCGGCCATCAGCAGGCACCACCTTGTCACACATGTGCCTATGTGTGCATGCACATGCACACACACGCACACACACACACACCTCCCTCACCCTATGTGTGAAGATCAGACTCTCTCCCCTGGAAGACGAATATGAGCAAGCAAGGCTGTGCTCCTCAGTGTGCTTTCTGGCTGGTGGGCCAGCCCTGCCACCCCTTTAATGAAGCAGCTCATCAAATAATACCCATTTTCTCCCTAGAAAGTCCAGAGGAGAACTCACCGTGGGGTGGAGATAAGTGTTTGCAGGAGTGAGAAGCTGCCATGGAAGTGAAAGACAAATTAAAAGACTCTTTCACTGAAAAATCAAAGGCCGGGTGCATGGTTCAAGTTAAGAAGGGCAGGGGGATCTTCTTGAAATTGCTTTCCAAGGAAAAGGAAGGGGGCATATGTGTGGACTTATGCAAGTGAGTGAGTTGACTAACAGGTGTGAATTCTGAGGGAGAGGCTGAGGGACATAAAGAGATGGGCTAATTAAGGAAGCTGGATGAGGAGGGGAAAGTGAATTCACATCTGCCCCATGGGCAAGGAGAGTTGGAGCTGTGTTTCTCCAAGTGGATTCTGGGACCACTTGCCTCAGACTTGTTCCTGGGATCCACCTCAGACTGCATCAGAATGTCAAGAAGTAGGGCCTGGAACCTATATTTTAGTCAATATTACACCGGGTAAATTTGACGCATGCTGAAGTCAAAGAACCAAGGGCTTCTACGTGAAAGTAAATGTTTTGCCACAGTCAAAGCTGAGTTTGACTCTCAGCCCCCTCCTTATCAGTGTGACTTTAGGCAAGTTACCTAAGTACTCTAAGCCTCACTTTCTTCTGTAATGAAGGTGATAACACTCGTCTGTAGTTTGAAGGATTACAAAGATAGTGCCCATGTAATGCATGTGGCCCAGTGCCTGACAGTAATAAGTGCTTAAAAATATGGTAACAGGTTTTGTTATTATAGGAGGCAGAGAGAAGGACTTGTGAGCCAAATCTGATCTCATCAGCTTTGGTCCAAATGGCCCAAGGCTTTCTCTTAGAACAGAACTGTGGGTCAAGAATGGCCATGGGTCAAGAATCTCTAAATTTACTCCTTGTAAGATATAAACACAGAGCGTACAAATGACATTCATATCATACTTACACGTTTCACACTTGTGGGGTGTTTGTGTCATTACAGAGAGAGACACGATATTTCTCCCAGTGTTTTCTCAGGCCCTATCCCTGGGGGACACAGACACGACTCCAAGCCCACTTCAGAGGTCAGTGGGCCATCCCTGCCTCCTGCAGATGTGGACTGAGGCAGAGGGCTGGAGCTCTGTTGACTTGGATTTTAGGACTTGGCCTTCCATCTCTAACCACCCTGCCCTGGACATAGCATGGTGCCAAAGACAGCATCTGCTTGGAGTTCCCTGAGGAGAGCTCTCCCGGGTTTGGCCACAGGATATTTGTCTTATTCACATCTCTGGAGGGTGTTACCTTTGTGTCCCCGATGAGATGCTTCCTCTTCGCCTCCCCGGGCAATGCATTACGGGAGGCAGGCATGGTGGGATGGGGTGGGTAGAGGTAGTCATCTAGATCGGCTGTCTTCCTCCAGTCAGGCTTCCTCTCCTGTCTCAGCTACAGTACTCTCGGCCTAGTATTCCTCTTAGTCACCGCCCCCCAGCCCCATACCGTTTCTGGTGCCCCATGAATAGGAGGTAACAGAGGCCTTTGTGTTGCCGAGCCCTCAGCAAGCTATTATCAGGACATGAGGGTGGGGTAAGGGGAGGCCGGAGCCCAGCAAACAGCCCCTCATTCATCATCCTAAGGCCGGAGGTAGGAGCACACTGGCTTCCCCACCTTGCTGGAAGGGAAAGACTGTTTCAACTCCAAACCAACTTTGAGTTAATCATTAACCAAATTAACTTAGGGCCTTAAAATCCCCTAACTCCCTGGTCACCACTGGTTTAAATTGGAAAGATACATGCTCTGCTGGGTCCTCGACCAGCACTGGTGAGCCACAGGTGTCGATCAGATGATGCCACTTTGCAGAAAGAGGGGTGCCTGTAATTGTACCAAGATTCCAATAAGGAATGACAGGGAACATCAGCCCTGCGGGTCTCAGCACTGAGGGTGAATGTTGGGGAACGCAAGAGCATAGCTATTGTGTCTACAGTCGAAGGGTCCCTCCCTTACTCTGCATGTTCTGGAAAGATGGGGATATTACCATTCTCAGGAGAAAACAAGGAAGTTGTATAGAAAGAGAGCAAAAGAAGGATAAATATAAAGGAAAGAACATGAGGAGGAAATAAGGAAGACAGGAGAGAGAAATGATGATAAAGATGCTGATGGTGAAACTAGAATTAGGAGCCAGTCCTCCCTGCTGGGGCCCTGTCCTGAGCGCTCCACATGTTAACTCACTCAGTCCTCACCACAACCCTGTGAGGTTGTCCCATTCCTATCCCTATTTAACAGACAAGGAAACTGAGGCCCAAAGAGGTTAAGTAACTTGCCTCTGGTCACATGTCTGGAAGTTGAGAGCTAGGAAGAGGAAGTGAAGAAGAAAGAGGGAGAGAGGTTTATGGTATCAATTCATATTTTGGTTCATTTCTGAAACGAAGTTCTGCCGCTTGACCTACTCAGTGCATCAGTCAGAATATGTGTCAGGTATGATGGACCAGGCACTGTTCTGAGCACTGGGGACAGATGAACAAGACAGAGTCCCTGCCCAGTTGGAGGGGGAGAGAGACACTGGCCGCGCAGCTCCCCTCCCCCAGGCCAGGGCTGCACGCCGGGGTCGCTCTGGCTGGTGCGTGCCTTGAGTGTCAGGGGATTCCTGGTCCTAAAGAGGGACCCCCCCCAGCCGCCGGGGCCGACTCTGCTTGCTGCTCCGCGCCCCGCCTGCCCCTCGGTTCCCGTGAGCTGACCTCTCCCTCTTGCAGGTCAGCCAGGATGGCAAAGCACTGCTGGATGTGCTGCAGCGGCCCCTGAGCCCTGGGAACGCGGAGTCCCTCACGGCCACGGCCAACTACTCCAAGGCGGTGCACCAGGTGCTGGATGTGGTGCACGAGGTGCTGCACCACCAGCGGCGGCTCGAGAGCATCTGGCAGCACCGCAAGGTGCGGCTCCACCAGCGGCTGCAGCTCTGTGTCTTCCAGCAGGACGTGCAGCAGGTACCGGGCCGCTGCCCCCTCCTCGCACCCATCCCAGGCAGCCAGACGCCCCCGAGGCCCTGAGGCAGGTGATCAGGCCCAGGAACCCCCGGCACGCAGAGGGAAGAGGGCCACTCGGCCCCAGCTGCGCCCACCCCTGGACTTTCTGCCTAAGCAGCCTCAGATGGTCCTGCTCACTCTGGTGTGGGGCAGGAGGCTCCGTCAGAGGCTGAGCGCTTCCTCGCGCTTACACGGCATGGTTGTCTTTGGGCAAGAGCTTGACCCTCCCTTGGGCAGGAGCTTTCTAGATGGCTCCAGGGCCGGGGGCGGGGCTTATTTGAGCATTGTCGGTGTTGGACCATGCACCGTGAGCTCACTTCTCGATCGGGGAGGCAGGGGGTCTGCTAAAGTTGGGGGGTGGTTGGGGTACAGGGCCTTTGGAAGATTCTTCGGCAAGGTTTTACTTGGCAGATGAGATTTAAAACATGGGCTATTAATGATTAGAGGTTATTTCTGGCTTAGTCTGTCTTTTTGCATTATTATACCAGTCATAGCTTTTCCCTTTACCATAAATGATAAAGAAATGGTTATATTTTGACCATGAAAGGACAGCCTTTTCAATGAAATAGCCCATTCTTTTTCCTCCTACTTTCTCTGTCTGTCTCCTTGGGGATCCCTGGGAGCTTTGCTCTGGTGTGGATATTCTGGGGGATGGGGAGCTGGTTGGGAGCTGGAGACCGAAGTTGGAGCTTAACATCACCTCCTTGCTGATTTCACTGTGAGAGGCAAGGGTGGGCGCACTCATGCTATCAGACTTTTCTGTGGCTAGCACATAATTTCAAGTTTGTACCTATAAAATAACACTTCACACTCCTCTGTACCCTCTGTGATTACCTCTGCGGTATACCCTCTGTGGAATCGGCCAGTTGTAATCAAAAAGTGTATCAAAATATACATGGAACCTGAGAGCCAGCTGGACAGGCCTTCACAGCTGCTGTTGGGAGGGGCCCCAGTGCTCGGTGCCCTGAGACCGAGGGAGGGTGGAGGGAGAGCAGGGCATCCTATCACTGGCTGTGACAACCTCTGGGAGGGGGTTCACCATGTTACCAGTCCTGGGAGTAGACAGGCCTTCGGGACTGTTCCCAAGTCTTGGACTGCCTTAACTTTGTTGCAGACACCCCCTCCCCACCGCCCCAGGCTGGGGCAAGTGATTGAGTCATCAGAGGTGACACCTCAGCCTCCGGAGAGATGGGCATTTATGTGCTGGCCCCGGCTCTGAAACCCTTGTGGGGCCTGCCGGGAATGGAGAAGCAAATGAATCAGTTGCCCACTCCTACCATCTGGAACTGTCCAGATAAATACATCATCCCAGAGCACAGGAGAGCACAGAGTCCATCTGTGATTGAGACAGAGGGAGGTGCCAGCCTCCAGAGGCACACACGGGGTTGTTACTCTTTCAGTGAATGTGGAATGACTCATGGAGGTAACCAGGCTGCAGGTTGTGCCACGTCCTTGGTGTGCTCTTTGCCCTCCTGCTGTTTCCGCGCTGTTGTACCAGGATGGGCACTGGAGAGGTGTAGAGGGGCTGCGAGAGGGGCAGGCAAAAGCCTCCCCAGCAGGAAGGTGGCATCCAGACTTGGATTGTCTGGGAACTGCTGTTCTCAGACTTCTCTGTGGCCACCATGACATCCACACGGAAGCTAGGAAGAAAGTATAGTAAAACTACACCTGGGGCCATTCTATATCATGCTCTTAAAAATGAGAGTATTTCTGGAATTGAGACGCTATCAGTTCCTCTCTACCATACCGATCACATTGTCGGCACTGAGCAAAAGCAAGTAGAATGTTATGAGGTGGATGTGATGGGTTCAGATTTTCCATGAGGACTGAATCCCCCAGGATGGCAATTCCGTTGTTCTTTTCAGGTTGTGTGACTCTCACTTCTGGAACATAACTTCATTCCCCCGTTGTCCCACACAGGCTCTCCCTTCCCATGTCAGTGACACTGGCATGGGGGGGGAGGGCACAGGTGAGTGTGGAGAAGCAGGGGCTGCCGCATCTGCTGGTGGGTCTCCAGGGTGTACCGTATACCCAGGCAGTCATTACCCAGCAGGTGTCTGAGCTGGTGCTTCAGAAGGCTTCTGGACATAAGGCGCTCAACAGTTAGGGTGAAAGACTTGGACTTTGGTCTCCTGACTCCCAGAAGCTTTATAGGTTTATCATCTTTATTTTGCATGTTTCATCTCATCTATTCCGTATCTCCTGGAGAGTAGAAACCATGGCTACTACTTCTCTGTGCACCTCACAACTCTTGGCTATATCTGACGTGAGGCTGGGGTTCTCTTTATATTTGCTGCCTTGAGCTGAAATTGTCAGAGGACCCCCAGTTTCTGTTTCTGTGAGGTGAACACCGTTTAAGCCTCCCCCTCAGCCCACGCAGTAGTTGCTCGTGAGTAGCTGGAGTCTGCCTGCAGGAATAGTGATGTGAAAGTCTTGAGGGTCCCAGGTGTTTACAGACAAGGTAGAGGATGCAGCCTCAGGGCTCACAAAGTATGCTGGTGCTCATCAGTTATTCAGAAAGCTCTGTCTTCTGCAGTGGGCCTGGAACTGCACTGCATTACGTTCTGGCAAGATGCCTGGTTCATTAGAATGGCTCAAGACATACCCATTTGAAAATATAAAGAACAGTTCGACCAGAATATGCCATTCAGTATGCAGGGCAGTAGAGTATTGATGGAACAGTTTTATGCAGAAGCATGAGAAGTCAGAGTTGGTGTCTTGAGGGAGGAGAGAATTGACTGAACCATATAGTCTGGATCCAAGATTCTTGAGCACCTTGGGGGGTCCAGAGATGTTTACTCAGCAGCCTCAGTGGAGAGCTCGTGAGCGAGCATCAGTGGCTGGAAGAATACAGAATTGTGTAGGAACACCGGCTCTGCAGGCAGACACCCTGAGTGTAACCTGTTCTTCAAGTCTTGGCGTGTGACTGGGCAAGGCATTTCACCTCTGGTGCTTCTGCTTAGTGACCTCTAAAACAGGAATGATCATAGTACCTATCTCAGTGGACTGAATGAGAGACAAGTACAAGGCTGAGCACCCTGGCTGCCTAGCAGGTAGTAAAGCCTCCATCAGCGTTGTCTAGTTCCTTAGTCACATCCTCTGGGTGGGACTCGAGCGCCCCCTGGTGCTCGTGCTGTTGGGACCCCAGCATGATTCTCCTGTTTGGACAACAGCGATTGCTTGGGGGCGGGGGAGCGGGGGGGGGCGGTGGTGGGGAGGCTGCTGAGTTCTGTTTGATTCAGTGAGAAAATCTCAGAGCCGTCAAAGACCTGAAAGACCATCTAATCTAACCTATGATATGATGAAGGAACTTGAGGTCCAGAGATGTGAAATAATGTGGCTGTGACCACACAAGTCCTTAATATAGTGCCAGGACCAGAAACTGAGTCTTCTGGCTCCCAATCCAGGGATCCGATAGAAAAGCCACACAAGAGAGGAGCCAGGTAGACAGAGAAGGAGAACAGGGAGAGAGACAGGAAGCACACATGCATGCTTCCATAGAGAGGGGAAAGAGATGGACACATGCACATAGCCCAAAACAGGGAGAGGAAGGAGACAGAGACAGCCAAGGGGGGCAGAGGAAGAAAGGGAGAGAGATTTGAAGACAGAGAGCAGAGAAACTGACATGCTTGGGATGGAAGGAGAAAGAGAAAGAGGAAGGCAAGGGAGGGACAGAAGACAAAGAGACAGGGACTCCAGCTGGTGGAGGTAGAGGGAAGGAGAGTGAGCCAGCCTCTACCTGCCTGCCTGTCTGCCTGCTTGCCCCATTGCCAATTCCAGGCATAGTCTTTGCCCAAGTGGGAATATTTTGCCCGTTAAGGGCCCAAAGCAGAGTAAAGCATAAAGATGAAAACCAAGGATAGACACCAGTGACAAAGAGATACCACTGAAGCCTCTGCAGTCAGAATTGGCCTGGCACATCACCCTTGTTGCTCTCCCTCGAGTCCCAACATACGTGCTCAGGTTTCTCTCCCTGCTGGGCTTGAAGGCAATGGAAGTAAGTCTCTAAGGATCAAACTGGAACTGGGGTTCATGAAGCAGCAGAAAGGTGTGGATGGGGCACACCTGCTTTAGTATCATTAGCGGAATAATTTTCAGTACCATTGTTTTTCCTGTTTAGAGTGGGATCGCACTGAGCATGAGCCAAAAAGAGCACCCCATGACAACATCAGCCTATGTCCACTTCTGTCTCTTATTTTCCCCTAACTCCTGTGTGTTCCCAGGGATATAAGGGACTGCTTCCCAGCCCAGATAAACCTGACTTTGTGCCAAGAATAACAAGGAGTAGCTAGATTCTTGATCTTTCTGATAGGTGCAGATTCCATTCCATTTTTCCCTAGCCAGAACAACTGTTTTGAATACTCTCCACAGGCCATCTTGCTTGCCTCCCTCTCTTTTTCTTCTCCCTCTGTTTTTTGCAAGAATGAACTGATGAAATGTTTTAGTACACCTCCTGTATGCAAGGCACTGTGCTGGAAGTTAGGTCCCTCGCTTGAGAGAAGACATATGCACCAAAGGTTGTATGAATGGCACATGGCTGTCCGGCTTCAGGGCCAAAGAAGCAAAATAACAATGGGCTAGTGGAGTCAGAGCAGGGAATGTTCCCTGTGGCTGGAGTGGGATGGCAGTGGTTCTCGGAGCTCAGGCAGAGGAGATTGAGATGGTGTTCCTGGGGAAGGCCGGGAAGCAGAGAGCTGAGTGACAGCCAGGGGACAGGGAAGAGGGAGTCTAAGGGGGTGCCCACTCTTGGCAGAGCAAGTGGCAGGTAAGGCAGAAAGGGTGAGGAGTGGTCTCGCTGGTGTGGGTGGGACAGTGATGTTTGAGTCCTCCCTTAAAAACAATGCCTTATAAGCAGTCCAGTCAGGTGAGCGAGTGAGGGGCAGTGATGGCAGAATTTATCAGGCTCAGTGACTTTCCCTTCTGAATGACTGTGTTAATATTCAAGTCCATAGTTCCTGTAC